TGAATCAACTGTTGAAACAACGACGATACCGTCTGATTCCAATGATTTAACGGGTAGTGATTTGGTAGAAACATTGAATAGTTAGCAAGTGTGGATCAAAATGCTAGGACAAACATTAAGTGTGTTCGTCAATACATTGAAAAAACTTTATTGTCCATTTTAAATATATTTTAAAAAAAGAGAAGATTTGGACATTGGCATTCCTGCAAGGTTATAATGAAAATATTTTATTGATATTTTAAACTAAAACAAAATTTCTTTAGTGAAAATATTTAATCTTATTTTCGGAACTTCAACATATAAAATTTTATTCAGTTTCTTATCTGCATGGATGAAATTCTTAAAATACTATTGGGATAATCTTTTACAGAATAAGCATCTTAACTTAGAAATTTTTGCATAAGATATTCAATCACTTCTGAATAAAAAAAGTAAGTAAAACAAAGGTAGGTCACACGTTTAGAACGTGTTTGATAAAAGCAAAAATAAAAAATAAAATTTTTTCAAATACAAAAGGAACAACAGCAGATGATAACAAGGTTGATAATAGGATTAATGAAATACATGTTAAAATCAACCTACAGTATAATAGTACATCAGTAGAACCAAAGAATTGTCCAATGGTTGATGTATGTTTCTATTGCATGCCATGTGATAAGAAAAATATTAAGTTGTAGCAGGTGTGTTCATGCATGGACATCTTCAAACAATACAACTTTTTGTTGGCTCTATAGAAACAACAAAAAAGTTGTTCTGCTATCACTAATTATAATTAGTGATAGTAGAACTATGAAACTAGTTATCAACACTTATCTTTGGAGTAAATATGCAATATGCGCTTGCATTTATCTTATCACAATAAACAAAGCTCATCATCAAATCATATGCAACCAACACCTGTTTTCAAAGTATTATATATCCATTCTCACATAAGTTTATTCTCATCTTTCATTAGAAAAAGAAGACTGGAGAAAAAAAATGAAAAAATGTAATGGCAACACATCAAACATGAGTATAAGTTCTTCTTCTTTCTCATTTCTGGCTTTTTCCAACATGGAAATGTTCTCTTCTTTTTCTTTTTTAGTTTCTTTTATTTATTTTTGCTGCACACGCCGTTCTAGTAAAAGCTGTAAGACTCAAATTTTCATTTTTATTTTGCCATTCTGGTATTTTTAATTATAAATACGTATTTATCAGACGATTACCTGTTTTATTTTAAACTGTCAAAGAAAACATATATATATATATATAGTATGTTGTCTTTGCTTGATAACCTATATGAAGAAAAAAATTTAATGAATAAAATGTGTGAAATAGAGATTAAATTGTAACTTAATCTCAGAAATTAGTTTAGGTGAGTCTAATGTGCGTAGTGAAGAATAACGAGCTCTTTCAAGCACTCACTGATACGATTGTAAAGATAACGGTTGCCATGGATCGATATATCGAAACCAGATTTGCACAGATGAGATTGTTTAATATTCGTAAAACTTATCAATAAAAAAATAGCAATAGAGAAATAAATTTGGATTTGTTCTAAACTAAATGAGATATGTAGTATGTAGATATACGAACCACTTTTTTTGAGATTCCACTCCATTTTCCTTTGCCGTGTATGCTGTTAATGGCAAGTACACTTGTGCGGATTCTACTATTGATTTTCGACTGTGATGGTATCAGTTGCAATTTTGAATAATTTGAGAAGGGATAGTGAGTTCTCATTTTGGACATTTTAAAGACTATGACGCAGCTTTTCGTAAGACAATAAGTCTGAAGATTGTTAACATCAACAATGCGAACACGAACATCGTGGCAATGTAGAGAGATGTATTTTTGAATTCGAATCCTGCAAGAATCTTTGAAAAACATGGCTTAAAAGTTTGTAATAGAAATATATTGCTTTTTTTTCCAAGTGATAGATTATCCAACTAGTTGTACGAGGGATACTTCGAGTGTTCGGAAATATGCTTTCGATGGGCCTTCACCGAGGGCTCGAGCCCTCGGAAAATGGCACTTTGGACCCTCGATATAAGCTTTCGAGGGGTATTTCCGAGCTTTCGTCGGATTTCGGGGACTTCCGAGACCTCGTCACACCCTGAAGAGAGCGAGGGCTCGGAAGTCCGAACATCTCTATTCGACGGCTCGAACTTTTTTTCAAGAGCTCGCTACCTATCTGAAATCCGAGGGATCAAGCCCTCGGCGAGGGCCTATTTTCGAGTACTCACCGCACCTATCGAACGACTTTTTTCATCTGTATGGGTTGTCTAGAAATCTTAGGACCGATATCTACTACTTTTTTGGATACTCGAAGATATATAGACGATCGAGTAAACTGAATCGTATGACATTGTTTGTTTTTCGAAAAAAGCTTGAGATACCTTGCGAAAATCTATTTTTCAGAAGTATGCCAGTATTAGGCTGGTTTCATTGTATATTGAAAATTTACAAAAAGATGTTCTGATTCGTTTCGGATTAATTTTGATGAAGATGTAAATTTATTAATGCTGACTTTCATGACTTCCTTTCAACAGACTTTAGACTACTCTCTAAAAAAATGACTCTCTACTTATACCTTTTTAGAATGAAATCAAAATCTTGCAAGGTTCGTTAGAAAAAAAGGTTTCGTACCAGATTCAAGGTTTTTATTAAAAAAGAAGGTTTAGTGGCATAGATCCCTTTTTGTCAATTATAGCAATCTGACTTATAGTATTTGAAAAAAACACGTTTTAATCCATGTGTCTTTTTACTGAGTGGCATTCTTTTTGATTATGTCTCAAGAAAGGAAAAACAACAATAAGTTTTTGATATAGGAAGTTTATCAATAATCAAAATTACTTACTCTCTTTTTGAGTATAATTATTTTACTTTAATGTCTATTCTGGTTTTTTCATCCGAGACTAGTCTTCAATATCTTTAGTTCTTGCATCGATCAGAATGAAAAGACGACGGGTGTTTTTTTCTCAGCAGAACTGTCTCAGAATAATTTGTTTCTACGACGGCTGCATCTATTTCGCACTTTTATAGTATATTGCATGCACCAAAGAAAAATTCTGAATCCGCCAGTGCGAGATACGTTTCGTATTTATATCTATTTGGCCTAGAAAATGATGTTTAGAGTGAGCGATGATTTTCTAACCTCGTTTGGAAATTAGACACCGAAAATAATTTTTTTTATAAATTCGATACTATATAAAAAAGAAAATATTTATAACACATGGTTTTTACTTTTATAATAGTCGAGAAGATAGACATTTTTTTAGTGGTTTTTCTAATCCACATGTTGAAATAAAGAAACTTTTTCTTTCGAACAATCCTTGTTTTATTTTATTTTTTCTGCTGGTAAACTGAAGCTTAGATTTCTGTTTTAGTTTGTCTTCTTGTTTCAGAGGAGTAGAATGAAAAAAGTCTAGGCTCTGCTATTGATTTTCTGTGATTGTTTCTTGTTAACGGTTGAGAACGGTAAAACTGTACTAAAAAATACCTTTTTATCTTTCAAATCTGTCTTACTTTCACAACAGGAGTAGCTTGTGTGACAACTCACTGATACAGTTGTGGAAAATGCGCCAGCCAATGAGCAGTTTTGCTCTGATATCTGCTCCATAAACCGGTACAGTAGATAATTTCTATACCTCCCACATCAGTGTTTATAGCAAGAGTATTTTCTCAGAGTGGTTTATGGAAACGAAGCGGGTGAAAAAAATCTTTGCCACCATTTTGTAGGGCTCGACAACAGTGGCAGATCCAGCCAGCGAGCGGCCGCTCTTGTCTTTGAACAGAAAAATCATTTTTTTGTTCAACAGAACTGCCTAAAAAACTGTGTCTATGCCAAGCGCACATACCACATACTTTCTTTACCTACTTGAAAATAATTCTGAATTCGCCACTGCTCGATGAACGCTGCAAGTAAAATGAAATAATTCGACTAAAGATTTTTTGAGCTAGAAGGACCGAAAGTTGGCTATTGCCAAAATGGGGTCTTCACAGATGAATGTCTTACTCCAAGAGGGAGATAGGTATTGAGTTAATTATTTTTCCATTAGGCCAGACAGCTCTTCAGCTCCATTTTCATCTATAATAAAAGAACTTCCGTTTTATTTTGGGTTCAGAAGAGGTAAAATACTGGATGCCGTTTTCTCATTTTTAGTCATTTTGTGACAGCTATTGTGCCCCTGTGAGAGTGTTAGGACAAGTAGAAACTGGGGGAGGAGGGCTTTTGTGTAATTTTCTATGTCCTACACGAAAGGAGTATCAACATCTTTGCGGCTTTTATGTCTGTATAAACTGGGTAGGCCTGACTGAAAATATCTAGCACAGTGACTTAACTGTATATAGAGAAGGATTCAGTTGCAAAATTATAAGCCTTTTTCTTGTCCTCTATTGGCTAATTTAGCTGCTTTGCACAGTCAAAAGCAGTAGAATCATAACTCCATACTGCGATAAGCGACATCTATTTGAACAAAAAGCTTGTCTATAAAATTAGAGGACTGAGACTTATTCTGGAATAGGGACTTTCTAAGATCAGCGAGAATCGTATAAAATCAAATAACAAGGTAAAAAATGATTGAATTTTTTTATGAAAGTTCTTGCAACTTGACATCCTAATGTTGCTAGGCAGCCAGACTATGAAGTTTCGCGTAAAAATCTTGAGAAAAAAATTTCTTTAAACCAAGTATATTGCTTAAAAAAGTAATTAAATATATGATTTAATTTGCTTTTATGAAAATTAGTATATGTGTTATTGAAATTTGTAAGAAAAATCGTCTGCCCATTTCGTTTATGCATGAGCTCACCACTAGAGATACGCGCCGACGACTTAGGATTCGTTAGTCTAATTTTTAGGCTTATGTAAAATATCAGAAATAACGTGAAATTACATATCACATCAGCCAGTCAGTTTTTATCAATCTTTTTTGTAACAAATAACTCACCGTTTTCTTTTTCTGTCTTTTCAGTAATGTTCATAAACGTTATCACAAACAGATTAAACATTGATTATAAAAATGGATAACTCGGAAAATAGTGATACTGGTAAGATTGTTGTATACAGCGGGCAAAGTTCTTAAAACGCAATCTTCTATGCATTTTATAGACGATCAAAATCTATCCGATACGAACAATCCATCGAAAGAACAGCATTCACTTAAATTAAAAACTGTGCGAGAATTTGATGAGGTAATAATTGCATCTTTGTTTTCGAAATAAAAAATATCTATATGTCTACTCATTTTAGCATGCAATGATAATATTTTTGTAGGTATCTATAAGAAAAAACTATAAAAAGTGTAGAGAAATTAAAAAAACTTTTATGTTATACTTAACTTAGCATTAATTTTCAAATACTTTCTCGCTTTCAGTTTTATTTCTTTTGTCGAATATAACCTTCCATAAGTGCTCAAATTTACTAGAATTTCGATCCTTTTTCGCTCATTTATTTGTTAAACAAAAAACACTAATATCTGTGCTACTATGTCTACTAATGATCACGTTTATTAACAGTACGTTTTGTTGAAAGGCGTCGTTCAAAATGCATTTTTTTTCGTTCTTTTTTATTAGCGTGCGCAGAGGTTGAATCTTCAGCACCAAGGATTGACTTTCTGTTCTTCTTTTATTAGACCTCATATTTTTATTAAAAATAATCTTGTGTGTAGTTTTGTTTATGTGTTTATTGTCTCGTTTTTTATGTTACTTGGCCTTTCATTCGCGTAGTAGCCGATACGTAAAGAAGAAGAATTATTACGGGATCACTGCGAGGCAAGAAGCGATCTTTTCTTGTTTTTAGAGAACTTTTGCTCCAAAATCTATTTTTTATCTACAGTTGACTTTGCCTATAGATATGTTGATAATGAAAGATTATTTGCGTTCTGAAAATAAAGCGGCATTCAACATATCCTATTGTTACTCAGAAAAAAGAAGGGAAAGTTAGTCAGAAATGTTGGCGTGCTTCCCGCATGCTCTAAGACTCTCGCAGCACTCCTAACCTATTCTGTAGATATCCCAAAATAGCAACTTTACGCAACACACTTTTTGTTTTGAAGAGCATAATAATAATAAAGTGAATCACAGCTTTAAAGCTACGTGAAAGAGCGAGGAAGATTAATAGATACATCTCAGACATTTTCGACAGATGGGCACAACAATAGGTGATCCAAAAGCCGCCAAGATCTTAATTCACAGTATATGTCTGATACATCGCTCTTTAGGATAATTCAGAGTCTTATACGGTCTTGGTCCTTCTGGAAGATGTGATGTGATCATTTGTAGAGGGGTGTTACATGGCAAATTAGAAATGAAGATGTAGAATAAAATGAATTTTTCTTTTGTTTTAATTTGTTCTGTTTTGAAGTGGGTATGCCTGTGAAAGAAATTCAAGCGAAATCTGACAGACGAATCCACTGTCACAAAGTCCTTTCTATTGTCTGTCACACCTGAGTATAATAATATTAATCGTATGATTTAGAGAGTGTTTTTTTTATGTGTGTATGCAGATATCAGTTCGAATTTAAAGAAAGGACAAAAGTCGGTAAATATCAACATTCCGTTTTGCAAGTGTGCGGAAGATCTGTTTGTCTTTTAACTGCGCCATAACCAACTTTTTTTTTAATATTGTTGAAGAGGCAGTCTGTGAACTAAATTTAGAAAATATAAGTCTGTGGATTTTGCTAAACGATGGCAACAGAGCTTACAGATGAAGTGAGTATTTTGACCTTGAACTGTATGCTAATCAATTTGTAAAAACTTTCTTAACTGTTTAGTCAAACTTTCTACACTTACATATGGCTGCTGATTCAAGAATTGACTCGTTATTCTTTATAATGATGTCATCATCATACAGATGTACGCCGATAGATTAGAGAGACCGAAGCTCGTCTCGACTCTCTGCATACGAGAAACGAATACCCTGTTCAGCCATGTTAAAAATTCTTACGAAACTTTGGGCTTGAAAATTTCCGTTTTTTGTAGACATGGTAGCTCTTCGATTCTATTAACAAAATCTCGGAAAATGTGTGTAGAAACAGAAATGTGTTCTCTAGTAGAGTGTTGTATAGAATAAGCATTTTAGTACGGTAACATTTCGCTTCTCAATTAAATCATAGCTAACTTAAACGACATCCTTCTGAGAAAAAGATATATAATTTTTCTTGTCTAATAATGCAGCTTTTTATATATATTCATCTACTATATACTAAGTTTATAGAACAGGAAATAGGCGATGTTTTCTACTCGAAGTATTATTTGTTTATTGAGGAATTACAAGAGCTCAAACGTGAAAATTTTAATTTAAAATTACGAATATATTTTTTGGAAGAACATTCTACAGTTGCAGGAACAAGCACTGAGGTACGTTAGAAAAACAGTTTGTATTCATATCTTGTCTAATAATTTCGATTATTATATATATTCATTACAGCTTGTCGAACAACTTCGTGCCGAATGTGCATCTTTAAAACAACAACTCAATCAAAAAGTGTAAGTAAATAAAGATCCACCGTCTGTACGAAAATGGTTCATTTTTTTGGCGGCTCCACATAAGATGCACATGAATTCAAGAAATTGGGTCGTTTTTGCTTGGATGAATGTAGTGAAATTTGAATCTAGGACAAATACACAAGAAGAAAGAGAAATCTTCCTTTCTTGTTTAGATATATCTTGAACGGGTTATGTTTTTTTGTCGCTATAAAGAACAGATGTGACTATTTGAATTGTGGTATGTGTGTGCGTATAACCGAAGCCCTCCGACAATAAAAACACACATAAAAGAGAAAAAAGTACAATTCCAATTTCTTTTGTTTGTTTATTATGACCACCTTAAAGAAAGAAATTTGTCTCTTTTCAAATCATAAAAAAATATATAATCGACTAAAAACATGGACATGTAATTGAAAACGCAATAGATTATAATCATCGATCAATGGTTACATTTCTTTTGTTTCTATATAAGAACAATAGTTATTTTTACTTGAAAAAAAAGTTTCTTTTCTTTATGAGTTGACTTTGTAAATTTATAGACTTATTTTATCTTATTGTGTCCATAAAAGAATTGAAACTTTCATTCATCGTTATTTTGAACAGTTTATTATTCGTTTATGTACTTGATATTTGAATACTAATGGGTCTTACACAGTCGCAAAACATTAATGATTCCAGAAATAATGATAAAGATGCTGAGCAAAGGTATTTATCACAAGAAGACTCTATGCTCCACATACTTTTAGTGAGACCATAGATTCGACTGTGTATCAGACAAAAAGTGACCTTTTTTTGTGAAATTATGACTTGTCTTTAATTGAACTGTAGTATAGAATTAAAAAAAAGGCGCTTTTTGAAACTTTTACCATATTTTTGCGTATTCTCAACTGTTTTTTTATTGGAGAAACTTGCTATTGAAACTTCAGATCATCTTTGTCGCATAACCGGCGCATATCTAGATTTATTTAAAAAATAAAATGTACTATTCAAGTGTACTGTTTGCCCCGACTCGGGATGAAAAAAGTTTTGTTTTTATGCATCGGAACAAATAAAAAAGAGATAGTCCGTTGAACTAATGTTTACATGTGAACAGAAATGAACAAGAACATATGATAGAAGTGTTCTCAGCATATATGTATGTATATATATAGGGTGTCCAAAAGTCACCACCCAATAAAAAAATTTAATAACTCCGCCGTTTCCCAAACAAACTTCAAGGTTATTTTTTTGATAGCGAAACGTTCCAAGTTTTATTTCATACGATCGAAAATTTTTGTGTAACAAAGGATCAGTACGGAAAAATAATAAAACTTACAACATATATTTTCTGTGTAAGTACTTGTAACAGTGCGTAAAAATTGTTGAACTTGTCGTAATTAAATGGAATCTTTGTCAGAATCGCACAACATATCATTTTGTAGAACTCAGACTGCTCTACAATCTCACATATTCAAATGTTTTGTTCAGCTTAAAGTTTTGCCACAAGAAGTTAATTTCTCCATATTAGCATGTCTTACGGGTTGCGGCTTCTGTACTAGTCTGATACAACTTTTTACAGGCTTTCGAACTATTCCAGTTTATAGGGCTACCTTCTTATAGAATTCCACTAAAAGTTTTTCCTTTTATTAGTTAACTTAGCTGAAAAATATGTTTATTACTTTTTTTGCACTTTTCCAGATGGAATAACAATGGCTGAAGAAATCCACACGAATCGGTCATTTTTAAGCAAAAGTAAATAACTATTTCGTCATATGAAGACCGTCATCATCTACTTTACTTTAATATTAAAAATTATTTATGTTCTTTTGGAAATGTTTTGCAGTACATAATTTATTAAAAAAGAGTCTCAAAATATCTGAATTCCACTATAATAGATCCAAACATTTTTTCAAATATTAACAAGAGTTTCCAATCGTATGAAATAAAACTTGGAATGTTTCTCTACCAAACAAAAAAATAATCTTGAAAATTGGTTGAGAAATGGTGAAGTTATTAAAAATTTTTATTGGGTGGTGACTTTTGGAACACCCTTATATATATATATATATATATAAAACGGATGGACCAAATTAAACCCGCTGTTTTTTGAGTACGGTTTTCGAGGCACTAAAAATCGTTTTAATACCCGGTTTTGAGCTCATTCTATAGAGAATTCATTACTCTGCAAAACTGTTGACTTTGTTTTTCAAATAATTTTTTCTTGTCGGGCAAAATGTAAAAAATTAACACGTACTCAATCCTTCAACTGCGATCTTCTGTTTTCTGCAGACATCTATCGATTTATGTAAGCCTATTCTCAGCAAGTCCGATGCGAAAAATAAAGTATTTAAAATCAATAGATAGAGAATGCTCTATGCTTCCACGGCCTTTTCAAGGTCCTATCACTTCGGAGAAATAGGCTTGGAAGTAACACCTAGCGGTATTTTTGGATGCATTTTAGAAAATCATGTTTTCCAAAGCCAGACTTGGTCTACGAAACATTTGTTCTCAAGCCGTCGCATGTGGAATTTAATTCTGAACAAACTGGTGTGATGGTTCAGTTGAACGGTGAAAAATTTTAGGTTGCTTCGAATTAAAAAAGAACAATGGCATAGGTCTGTCAGAAAATGAATTTTCAGTTTTCACATTTTCCATTTTTTCATTTTTTGTCCGTCGCAGTTGAACGGTTGAGCAGGTTTTAATCTTTTACATTTTGCCCGAGAAGAAAAATTTATTTGAAAAACAAAGTCGACAGTTTTGCAGATCAATGAATTCTCTATGGTTAAAACGAATTTTAGTTCCTCAAAAACAGAAAATAAAAGTGGCCAATTTAATCTGGCCCACCCCTTATAATGTGTATGAAAATAGTTAAGATCATAGTAAGCAGAACTGGAACCGGTTGAGAAACTGTAAACTGGTCCGATTCGGCCGTTCTGAAAGTGTAACCGGAATGGTCCGGCCGATTGCAATTATAACTCCAACCGGTAAAATACTGGCCTAGAACTGGCGAAGTTTTTTAAAAATCGATTTTCAGAAAGAATTTCTTCTAGAAATGAAACATCTTGCGAGCACATGTGAGAGACCATCATAATAACGAGTCTATAACATTTAACCTCAAAACAAGTGATGAAAATAATACGTGTCTCGGGCATCGTCTTATTTACTCTGACTGAAAAAGATGTGAAATTTTAGTTTTTTTACGAAAAACAGGGTAAAAAGAGCAGATGTTTCAAAACTTTCAGTCGGTGTAATACGGGTCTCTAATGGCCCGATTGACTTTTTCAACCGGTCCGGGTGGAACGGGATCGGTTCCAGCTCTGTCATAGTAAACGCTTAAGGAATAATCCGGACAGTTCTGAAGGATTCTTCACCCTTTACTGCTAACTCAGACCATCATGTTATAGGAGAACAAAAATAAAATAGTAGTGAGTGAGAACTAAAAGGTAAAAAAGTGCTTGCGACTTACTAAAAGTGCTTGCGACTTACTTAAAGTGCAAGTACAAGTACAAAGTGCAAATACTGTTCTAAAGTACAAGTACTCTTTACTTTTACTACATATGCTCTGGTTAATATGAGCCCTTAGAAGTAACAGATCATCAAAGAGAAATAGTTCATTTTGAAACATCTCCTATTTCATGACTATGAATGAGTGTTTGCTCGTTTTTGTTTCTTTATTGCATAAAAATACTATAGTCCCATGCAATATTACAGAAACGATTTTATTTTTAACGTTTTCTGCTCGATCATCATAATCAGCACAAATTCGAAAAATGGTTTCAATAGATGGAAGAGTATTCAGTAAGGAGTGATATGTGTGAAAATTTTATTGAAATGGCTAATATGGGATCTCTAGAAAACAAAGTCCATGAGTTCAATCGCACATCTTTTCTACATAAATCAACTGTATAGAACAAACTTTTGTGGACTAAATGAGACGTCTCCGAGCTCTCCACGATATTCTAAAATTAAACTGCATAAACATATAATTCAATCATCCAAGACTGCATTCTCTTTTGTTTAGGGGAGAAAACAAGCAAATACTCATTCATAATCATGAAATAGGAGATGTTTCAAAATGAACTATTTCTCTTTGATGATCTGTTACCTAACTATGGATCATATGGCATTTCATTCACTTTTTCATGAATTATTTTACTATATGAAGTTTTACCCTAAATCCACTCTAGATTGCAGAAAACCAATGGCGGCTTGTCCGGCTAACGGTACCCCATGCATGACCAAAGTTTGATAACGTTATTCGACAAAATGCTCATACCACTTCATAAAGGATAGACTATAATTTCAGAAATGACGTGTTTTGTTGTTGTTCAGATGCGTAGCGTACTTTTCTAAAGGAGGAAAGCATCCCGTCTATGATTGTTAGTTTAGTCATCCAGCACATATTTTATTACTAGTGATATTCGCGCATCCACTCTTGATTAAAATTTCGACCTTATATTTCAAAAGCCCTACCTTATAGCTAAAAACCATCCACTGGACACTCTCATCAATATCATCTACATTTAGAGAAAATCAGAACTCTTTAACTACCACTGGAAAGAACTTCCATTTTTGGTCATCGCGTTACCGACCGTATAAACGCTATAGTATTTGAATAAGTAGTAACTCGAAACCTTTTACACCATTTATAGAAGCCATCTAGATGTAATAAATAATGCAACATTTACTTTTACTCCTGCCCACACATGTGAGAAAATAAACATTGACGTTGAAAATGTGTCATCGCGTTACCTGCGGACAGATCGATGGGCAGAAATCGATACAAATTGGTCCTCCTCCTTTCGTCGCGTCTAGATCGTCAGATTCTCCCTACGCGGGAATATTAGCAAGATTAAGTAAGATCGCTTGTAAATTGCTTATTTCATCATAGCAAGATGGCCCTTTCTTTATTCTTGACATAAAATAAAGTGGGAATGCAACTATAGTTAGAACCCTGAATTCTATGCCTTGAGATAATCGTAATTGTATTTCTAAGCGCTTTTCCTAGCTTCTAAATTCAGAAAGTTAATAACCTAATTGGTCAGGCTGTTATAGTATTACAGCGTTGAAATAAAAGTTCAATTTCTCATATTCTTCAAAATCTCTTTTTTCCAATATAAAAATTAGCACAAAGAAAATGAAACCAATGACATACTTATAAAATATATTCAATAGCTGTAGGATTTCTAGAAAAGCACATCGATTTGCGACACAAAGATTTTTCAAACTATAATCTTATAAATGGACTTTTTTCTTTAAAATTAAAGGTGTCACACGTCCTCAACTAACGCTGGATTAGTGAGTTATCACATGAACACCCCACTAATTCTTTGTTACCGTTGAAATACGTTCTCAAGACGATCTTATGTGATCTTATATACATTTAAAAAAATCATCAGATTAAATTCAGAGCTGATGATTTCGATTCACTTTCGCTCTACATATTGATACTTTATAGTTTATTTTTCATAATTTATCTTTGAACTTCCTTATTGGCTTCAGAAGAGATACACCGTTTTTTATTTATAAGTCGAGCAATTCAATTTTCTGTAATAATCTGTGATGAGTGCTGATGGTATTCATATTAAGACATATACACGAGTAAACTTACGATAGACTGTTCATCTGTTACAAAATTGTTTGTCGATATCTTGCTATAATAGCATCTATGTTGGGAGAGTGCGACATTTTTCTTAATACGCATGTAATATGTCTCTCCTTCTGTGTACAAGAGGCGCTTAATGTCGAGAAGGATTGAAGCAGAATATATTTTTAACTATGATGTCGGAGTGCTATACGAGCGGCAATTTGTATTTTGATTCCTTACTGACAAGGGAACTATCTCAAGTATCTAATCGTTTTCTTCTTAAAGCATATGTCATTTAGTGTAACTTTTGATGTTGGTCACGAATCTGATACTCGGATTTACTTGTAAGATTTTCCTCTGCGGATCTCTAGAGATGAAATTTCACAAACCCACCACACAGTGGGCATTTCTGACTTAGTGAGGCGGACATGAGACTCTTTTTTTATCTAAAACGGGATTTGTTGCATAAAAAACACTTTCTGTTGTTTACGAAGCAATATTCACCAAAATAATGTTGTGTCAGAAAAAAATCCCTAGCCCAAAATTTTTACGAAATTTTTATGTATGTCATTAGATGCAGTTTCAAGCGCTGATTTCGTATATTATCGTCTTTAATTTAATAAATATGTTCCTGGACGGAGAAAAGCACATTTTACCTCGGGTGGAAAAAATTGTGGTGTAGTCTAGAAACATTTGTGCTATCTGTATGGGCGCAGTATATATCGAAGAACATTCTGCTAAAGTTTAAGGTGTTCTAAAGATGGGGGCATGAGGAGACGCTCATTATACTAAATATAGTTGTGCGGAAAATAAGTTAGTTTGGAAAATCATTTTTTTTGTCCGAACCGTTCAACCCAAATGGAGAAATTTTTTTACTGATCTACAGAAGGTATCTAAATTTACAATATATATATCGATTCCATTTTTACTTACGTCGAATTTTAAAACGAAATTTTTTACTTCTTGCCTCTATGTTTTCAAGCTAATTTTTGACTATATATTTTCCCACGCACGTTAATACTTGAAATAAAAAATTTTATGCCATTAAGTAGGGCATTTATTAGACACTACTGGAAAGTTGCATTTTCGATTGTTTGTTAAAAGGATACTCACTGTAGATCATCAACTTCCATTTGATGAAATTCTGATCCCGTCAGCTTGTAGAAAAAGTTGAGTTGTCTATGTAAATGGGCTTTTAAGATGAGATATGAGACTTTTCCTAATTATTTTATTCAAAATATTGAACTCGATGAAAAGTTTCCTATTGATAAAAGTTTTACATACTCGTAAAAGTTCTTTTGGTAGTCTTTAGAAATTATTTACATAGACAACGCTACATTTTCTAGAAACCGGTTGTATTAGAATTTCTTCAAACGGAAGTTGATGATGGGTTTATGGAATTGGATCTCTAGAATCGATAGAGGAAAATCTTAACCAGCATCAAAACTTTAAAAACAACCATTTTACACAATCATAACAGACTGAAAAAAACACTCGAGCACATTATTCTTTACAAGCCGAATTACAGAAAGTTTTCATGTGAGCTAGAAAATTGAAAGAAATTAAATTTTATAGGTGATAAAAATGACAGATAGAGCTTTGTGCCTCACATCTTTCAGTGAGGATAGACGACGCTGTTCGATATTATGTTTATCTAATAAATTTTGGAGAGATTCGACGCGACGTTGATAATTTTTTATCGCCGCAGACGTCTTATTACATCTTGAAGGCTTTTTTGAAATAAAATTTTCTTCTAGGCTATTACATCTATAAAAAGTGTTCAATTATGCAAAAAGAATACGTTTTTTTTTTTTCTTCTTCAATGACTAATTTTTTTGTCTATACTCGATACTTCGATTTAACTTGAAGAGTTTATCGATTATCAGTGGTGTCCATTGATGTTATGTTTTGTTTTATAATAGTCAGATATCTGAATTTTAATTTATTATCAAAATATATGGCTCATATTCACAAACACTCTCTTCCACAAAAAAAGAGTTTCAGTTTTGAAAAAATGAAGAATTTTGTCGAATCATTTTATGAGAGAAACGAAAGAGGAAAAGAATTCTATAATAAAATGAAAGAAAAAACTTAAATCGAATAACAGCAATTATATAACTATTATTTTAAATTCTATAAATAATAGAAAAAAAAATTTTGCAGTTTAAACTAGCGATATTATTTACAGATTATTTTTACACTCATATACTTAACAAGATTGGGAATAATGAAAAAAAAAAAAAAAAGCAGGATAGAAACGGAGAAAGAAATACCGCAAATGTACATTTTAAAAATAAAATATCAATTTTCACGTGTGTATGTGTGTGATGTCTGCGGATTAGTAAGCAAAAGAGGTTCATAATATAGAAAAGAAAGAAAGTTGTCATTGGATCCTATTTATACGTGTTCCATCGTTCATTCTAGGTGAAAAAAAGAATTTTTGAATGGTGCTTACGATTAGCAGAAGAAGATCTATTGAATGAATAAAGTTACTGTTTTTGAAACTATTTTTAAGTTTTGTTACTATTATTGCTAATTTGATGTAATATCTGTACATTTTTTTTTTTTTTATTAGAATTTCTTTTTTTTTTCTGTTCAGGGACGAGCAGCATTAAAATTTGATTCGTGTATCGTCACATTAGATTATTTTAATATTTATTTTCTCTACCACAGAAATGTGTCAGAAAAACGTGCAGTCTAAGTGGATTAGGGACAAATTCCATTGTTTATTATATCGTAAAAAAAACTAACATTTCATATTTCATTTAAATATGTCAACATGTTTATTGACTCTGTTTTGAGCATACTAAAGAAACTGACTTCTAGCGGTTACTCCTACTAAATATTATGGTTTTATTTCCTCTTGTTTGTTTAGTACTGGACCAGATGGTGAAGTTAATAGTGATATTAGTACCAATATTCATTTAACAGATGATGAAGAATATAAATCACTTTCAGCCGAATTAGAACATTTACGTAAAAATTACGAAAAACTATTAACTTCCCATCAACAACAAACACAAGAACAACCATTAATGATGTCGATGAATAAATCAAATTTAACTCATAGTATTCAAACAGATTCGGGTTTAGAAACTACCAGTGATTATGTAACATCATCATTAAATGTGGGTACATTGGATCAACAAAAATTTCGTGATGCTGAAAATAGAGGCTATAAAAATGGTCAACGTCAAGCACAAAGACGTATCGATGAATTAAACGAACAAATTAATAATATGAGAAAAGTACGAAACGTAAATATTATGCAAATGTTACGAGTTTTTCCTTTTTTCTTTTGTCTAGCAAGTACATGTCAGTTATACAAATCAAAACAATGATCAATTGGTAAGAATATAATTGAAGTCATATTTTTGGTTTCATTTTCTCAAATCGTGTTCACGATCAACTTTTGAAATGGGGGTAAAAATTTCGGAATTTTTCAAAAAGTAATTTCATACGTTTGACAGACAGAATGGAGCTAAAAACTACAAGTTTGATAAGGTACAAAAATATTTTTTTTTAAAATTCTCTGTGATAAAGGATCTTAAAAATTTTGACAGTGTCTCGTACTCGAAGAATGTTTCTTTCTGTTTGTTCTAATCATGAAACTTCCAAGTAAGGCTTCAATTTTTCTTTTTCTCACCTTTTCTCTAGGAATCCGAGTTAAATCAAACTCGAAAACAATTAGCTGATTGTAAACGACAATGTTCAGATTTTGAAATAAAAGTAAACACTTACAAAGAACAACAATCAAAGGCTGAACGAGTTATAACATTATTAAAAAATGAATATGATCAAAAAATAGCTGTATGTTCTAATTCTATAGTTTTATACATCTTTTAAAAATTTTTAAAAGTCTCAATATAAATATTTAGTCTCATTATTTTAGAGTTTAACACGTGAACGAATTGAACAACAACCGCAAACCGAACAGGTGAAAGGGGGTTATGAATATTAACAGTTTTAGGGGAAGTTAAAGGATTTCTGTTTCTATTTATAAACTTTTTTTAGCCATTGGTTGCAAGAATTCGTTTTCATTATCCAGTGGTAAACGCTTGTCTATTCCCCAGGATCTATCTTTATTTTTGCTTTATTGCTTATGTCTGTATATATCCACGAAGAATAGCGTGTGGTTTTGCCTTATCAGTTGCTTTATTATTCAAATTCAAATCTCTACTATATAGTTCACCTTCGAAAACATTTCACTCGTTCCATCGCTATGTAAACTTTCACATAAATAACATAATATGTCTTCGAAAGTTATCACTCCTGCTGTAAATCAACTAGGAGATAGACTACTAATTAATTATATTCAACTTTACATTTCTCACAAGTTTTTCATCAATAAAGGCAAATACTTTCATCGTTCTCGCATTAGAAACGTTAGTGATCGTCCTTGAAGAAGTTTTTTCTTGAATTTTCTCCAAGTAGAAATTTTTTTGTTAAATTGAAAGTAATTTATTTGCTTGCGGGTTTGCTCCTCATAAAATTACTCAAATATATTTCTCTTATTCTTCGTGACTTCTTTACTTTGAGATAAAAATTCATTGTTTTGAAGTCATTTATTTATCTCTTATAGCGGTCGGTACTTTATCCATATCAACTTAAAAGACGTTTTTCCTTGCTGCTACTATTGCTTTTGCTACTATTTATATTATTAGGGTACTTCTATAGTTTTTTGATTTTATGATCTTATAGTTTAGATGATGCAACATTAAATGTACTAATTTTATTCGATATTTGGAACATTTTTCTGTTGATTAGAGCACATATCACAGAGTTCAATTTTGTTATTTATACAGATAATACACACGTTCACAAATTTGAATTTTATTCATAGGAAAATGAATCCTGCTATTAAAGTTCACTTTATAACTTTCCAATAGCAACTGTTTCACAGACTAGAAAATATTGAGTTGTCAGCATTACACGAAGTACACATGTGTTCACTCTGTACACAAGAACATTCTAATGTTTATAATAATCGGAGAGTTTTAACAAATGAGGTACTGTGCCTATGAAAATTGATTCATATGGCTTTTTTTTTTATTACCTCAAACTTACTCCTGTCTACATGATCAAACTAAATATCCCAATTTCTTCTATGAACAAGTTTAAATTCTTATCTATTTTTGTAAAACTTAATAAAGACACATTTCAGTAATTATTTGTAGGCACACAGTTTTTATATATTCGTGTTTTCTCTATTTTTTAGCACTATGAATCTAGTATCGATGTAGAAGCTTATAAAAATACATTAGCTGATCGGGATAGAATGGTCCAGGTAATAGATACAGATGACAGTTGGTCAAATGAGATCAGTATCTATGATCTTCTGAATTTTTAGCAACTTGAAGAATCGATCAATGAATTAACCATACGTTTACGTAATCCGATCACAGTCACATTACCATCAACGACTATTACAGATGAGGTTAATAATTAAATATTATACAAAACTATAAATAAGAAAAATTTAGTTCATTGTTCTTTCAGAGTAGTCGACTTCTAATGGAAGAATTACGAGGCGAAATACAAACACATTTAGGAATCGTTGAAGTAAAATCGTGTAAAATGTGTTGTTTAAAGCTTAGCTTATCGTCTATTTTCTAGACATTGCGAGCAGAATGTATCGAATTGAAACGTTCAGAAAAAAATTTAAAACTACAGATTGAACAATTACTAGTCATGTTTGATGTACCTGTACCACGTGAACAATCTGGAGTAAGTTGACATTTTTATTAATCATAATGTTAAACATACCCGTAAGTATACATAATGTTTCTTCTAGTTCTCTTCACCAGCAAAAACATCAACCATCTATTCTCAAATAGTCGGAACAACTTTATCTCATTCGCTAGTAAGTAAATGGACATCATATTTGCTAGAAATGAGAATTTATCAATGAGCCATATATTCATCGATATTCACAGTCTAATGAGATCATATTTGCTTGTCATATATTAAAAAGTCCGTAATGGCATGTTTCGCCAGTTGTACTGAGGGAACGTTTAAAAATGTATTCCGGTCGGTCGGTCGCTGTTCCTCTATTCCTCCACTATTTTGCTATTATTCCTCTATTCTTTTATTCCCCAATTATATACACTAAAATTTGTTTTGTTTTAAACACATTTTTATACGAGCAAACATTTTCTGTTTGAAGAATAAAATCAAATTAGAAACGACCAAATTTTATATTTTCATCAAACGTTCATGTCTTATATATTCAAGGAGACTGTAAACTCACTGTAAACTTATTTCGTATTGCACCAACTTCGCGAACTAAAGTTACGTTAATTAGAGAAGATCTAATTCCATTTTTTATACTAGTCTAAAGTATACGAATTGTACACGATACTGATCTAGTTTTTAGAAAAGGATCCCTTTTCGTCTTTGAGAAATATAACTGTGAATAGCGTTGATTATTGTCTAAAAAAGCAAATTTTTCCTTCTTCCACTTGCAGAGACTTCTTTTGCTTGTCTTGAAAACTTGCTTTTTTAAATGATAATCAACGATATTCACAGTGATTTGGTCTATAATAGAGGAATAAAAGGGGAATAGTCGAGGAATAGCGACCGACCATCCGGGATATATTCTGAAACGTTCCCTTAGGTCAGCCGAAACGTTCTGATACTTTCCACTATTTATTCATAAAAAAGACATTTTACCGATCTATCGGCAGTAAATGTTAGAGGTAGTCACCGTGTATGAATAAATAGTGACAGAACTTTTTGACTGACCTAAGTACTCAATAACGTAACAAACTTTTTCATGCGGTACATACAGAAGAGTTCGCGAAAACACCACTAACTTTCATTATTTCAAATTTACTGCGTATAAACAGAATGCAAGAAAATAGTGTTGAAATGCGATAATCTCGCCATGCATTGAATATAGCTTATTAACTTTATTTTGTTATTATCCTAGGGTTCAAACGTACTAAATGATTCTCAAATGATTCACATAAAGGTAAGTTATTTATTGAATTATTCAAGAATCTAACTCATCTTCTTTGATCTTTTAGGATTTAAAATCGGCTATTATTCAAATAAATACAAATCTAATAAATGATGCTGAAAACCTGACAAGTTTAACAAATCGTGTAACATCTCTCATTCGGGAACAAGACGAGGTAAATATTTAGTTGTTGTTCTAAATTTAGAAATGCTATTATAGGTGACTCTATTTAGTGGCAAGGAAAATTAGAGAGACTACAACAACAAATAACAGAAAAAAATGATTATATTCAGGTATTTGAACAGTTATTCGGACAGATTTTTGAATTTTGTGTATCTTCATTGAAAATAATTCAACTTTCTATCTATCATTTGAGCACTGATTCCAAAGTACCATGCTAGCATTTATAAGTAACGTTTTCAAAAATATACGACATCTACGCTAAATTGTATAACTTTTCAAGATTCAGCGTTTTTTCTTAGAAAATAAATAATTAGTGCTCAAGGCCGCAGTAAGTTTGGGTTATGTTCGAGAAGAGAAGAGGCAATACTGCAAATTTTACTCGCCTATCCAGATTTTTCTTTTAGATCGTAAATGTAACTTTTTATTTTAGCAATTAGAACGTCGTGAATCTGAACTTGAAGTGACAATTAAATTACGTTTTACGGAACGGATTAGCCGATTAGAACGAGAATTAGATGAAAATCATAAATATGTACGTACATCATTAGCAGGGTTCGTAATGCTCCTCTTTATCTCTGTTTTCCCGTTTCATTCAAGACCCTCCACTATTTCTTCTCGTTTTGAGAGAATTTTCCTCTTTTTCTGGGATTTTTAACAAAAATACCAGAATTCAGGCTTATTTTTAGATCTGAAAGTAATTTCAGATATATTTTTTTATCAATGTCATCATATGAAACAAAAAAGTCAATCACTCGTGCTTACAGAAAATAGTGGATGAAGTCTCTGTGAGACGATGGTTAGAGCAAGGAAGCAACATTCGCATGTACATTGTGTATAACGGGCGAACTAGATTGAGGGAACAAAAGATGGCAGTTGATAGTACAGCATATGAAGGAAGATAAACATGGGAAAAAACTCAACGAGTTAAATGAAAATACCACATTTGTTTCTCCAACATCAGCATCTCATCCAACCACAACTTTATCCCAAAGTTCATCTACATTCATCTTTTAAACTAGAAGAACTCCTTTTTCCTGTGTTTTTCTCAGTTTTTTACTCGTGACACACGGGAAAAAAACTGTAAGTGGGATGAAATCGTTTCTTTCAGAGACTTAAGCCGATTTGACATGTACACAACATTGTCAGTACTGTTGTTTGCCCAAAAACATAACTCCTCTTTTTTACCTTATACTCTCCTTAAAAAATGTTTTACGTTACTCTTTTTTCTGAAAGGACCGTTACGAAGCCAGGTCATTAGTTACCGAGTTAGCAAAAAATAAATCGAGAGTTTTGTTTTTAGTATATCCTTTTTACTACTAATGCTAGAGAGCCAGTTCAAACGCCATTCGAAAGAGCAGATATTTTTGTACGTCACTGTATATAAAAACAATTAATAAAGAAGGCTGCTCGAGTTTTATGTAAAAAAGACTTTTTTTGCCGTCTTAAAGTGTTGTTTTTCTGGCTCATCAAAAACGACATTACAAGATTTGAAATCTAAGCCTATCTATTATTGTACCGGTCATAGTTGTAGGCTTCAACATGTAAAGGATGAATCATCTGATAGTGATGTAACTTGCACTATAAAGACTCACTGATTAGAGCTAATATGTCAGTAAAATAAAAGTTTCTTTACCATCCGTTAACTGGGATCAAAACTGAAAATTGAATTTGGTAAAGAGTACGTCTAGCCCTCTCTTCTGTTAACACTTTGGATTTCGGATTAAATATGTCACAATATACAGATAAGTGCTCTCTACAAAATGAGACGTCTCTCAGCTCTCTCTAACCTTTCCTTCTGGTGTTATGCATTTTTTAAGATTGGCTACTGGAGATCGTAATTTATCATTGTTCACTTTGCAAATTGTCCACATGTGTGGTGACCAGTCAAGTTTTTCCCTGCTACAAAGCTCTCTAGCATTAGTAGTAAAAAGGATATACTAAAAACAAAACTCTCGATTTTATTTTTTGCCAGCTCGTTATATTGACTATATGCTTCATTCAACTTGTTTCATTATTTCAGATTGATCAAATTGTTAATGAAAGAGAGACTCAAATAACGGTAATCATTGCCTCTAACCCAAATTATAACTTTCCGTCTATTTTATGACTTATTTGTAGAAATTGGAAGAAAAAATTCTTATTGAACAACAAAAATATGAGTCAGCTCTTTATGAGCGTGATAGAGTAAGAGAGTGCAAAAGAAAAGCTGAATCATTATCATATTTCTCACGGATTTCTTCGTCTTAATAGGAAAAACATCAATTAGAAATAGAAATTGCAGTGAGTTAATTCGATTTTTAAAATCAAATACACAACTGATTAATTTAATTTCCTTATTGTATAGTCTTATAAAGAACAAATACAAACCATGAAATTGAATACGCGATCCGCTGACTTAGAACGAGATGTTAAAGTACTTTATTTGTTATTTAATACAACTATAGAATGTACAATAAAAAATATTATTTTCAGAGACAAATTGAACAAATTGAAAAATTAAATATACGGATCCGAGAAGATGAAAGTCGTTACATCGAAGTAAGAAAAATTGTTATCCAACTCTCTTAATCACTTCTACTTTACAAAAACCAATCTTTAATCTAATTGAACTGATTTCAGATATCTTACATGTATGAATAACTTGAAGCAGCTCCTTATAGAAGAATTTACTATGCTCTATACTCTAACAGCTGCGGCAGAATAAATGATGATCTCAATATTTTCTCACTATCTCGCTCAGTTCTCATTCTTTCGGATTAAACTTTTTTTAAATATTCAGCGTTCAATTCTCTACAAAACCATAGATGAATGAGTGTTATTCATATAAAAGTAAAAAGGTTATTGAAGAAATACTGAAAATATAAAACATCAACAACTTTCTAGTACAAATACGCAAACGAATTTTCGATTTCTTTCCGCTAGTAAAATACTTACTCAAAAGCTTCAAAGCATCATTTCTATTACAATCAAGTGCGCTCTTTTTGACGGTATGCAAGAGAACACGTCAGTTTTTAAAATGTTGATAGAGAACGTCATTTTTGTCAACAAAAAACCAGAAATTCATTATATTTAATCTTCACATTTGAACATGGTGGATAGAAAAAAACATTTGTTCGAAACGAAGATCCACATTTATCGTATGGGATCATTAGCTTTCAAATAAAAAAAAAATTATGTCAACAGCGTAAGTTCTGGCTGAGTTACATGAGTTTTCCGAGAATAGCGAAAATAATATTTTAAAAACGTGTTTTTTTGAAAAACATGAAAAAAGTTCAGTTTATTTTGCACATTAGGATTTTGTTTTTAAAATTTTTGAATACCATGGGAGGATAGAGCTTCTCAAGCTCTACAAAATGCCTCATTTGATTTTTTTGTATCTCAACACGAGAACACGTAAAAGCAAAAAAAACTGAATTTTGTGCTAGGAAGTTGTTGATGTTTCATATTTTCAGTATGTCTTCAATAACCTTTTTACTTTTATATGAATAACACTCATTCATCTATGGTTTTACAGAGAATTAAATACTGAATCTTTAAAAAGAAATTTAATCCGAAAGAATGAGAACTGAGCGAGATAGTGAGAAAATATTGAGGCTATCATTTATTTTTCCGTATCGTTACAATTGCTTTTTTTGTACAGTTTTTCAATCGCATTGGCATCAAACTGACTGAACTTTTCAATCTATTCTTCTTTTTAACATATCTCAATTTATCGAGCATATTTTTCTAGTCAGAGTAAAATAAGATTCAACTCTGTAAGGTGTCCTCTTAGTTCATCCAAATTGACTTCTCAATTCGTCCCATGAAGTTTTTTTTCTCAGTTCGTCCCATCAACACTTCTCTCTCAATTCGTCGCAGATATCTATGCTCGTGTCTAAAAATAAATAAAGTGTTGTACCGGCGAACAGTTTAGATGACGAGGATAGGTATTCTAGACAATACTACTATCCGTTTCAAAATACAATATACTTGAGTTATTTTTTGAATAACTTTTTATAGGAATGAGATAGAGACCTGCGGGTTTTAGCATCATATAGCACAGACCTGAAACTGTAAGAATAAAAAATTCCTCCGATCGGAATGCCACCTGCAGGTGGTAGACTACATTCATCTTCGAAAGATAAGGTTGTTAGAGGACAAAAAAAGAAATGATTTTCATATGCCGAGTAATGGATTTATACAATTCTACACAAGTCCCAAATCTCTAGTTCGTATGGTCCCGGAACTTTAGGTATTCTGCAACGATCATCCTATCTCGTTGGTGGGAGTACGTGGCAAAATGTACCGTATTAGCCACTACTATCACAAATTTAAATCTAAATAAGTTAAACTATCTTGTTCATAAAAATGCTAATTTTTATCATAATGGATATCAATATACCAAAAAACGAACAAACAAAATAAATAATCAATGAAGTTGAATTAGTTATAAAATGTGATAGGGCAGTTAAAACCACTTAAATTAAAAAATAAGACATACTATTGCTGTTACCTTTTCTTAAAAGAATATAAATATATTAAAGTTAATTAAATGTAAACTAATTTGGGATGAATTGAGAGAGAAGTGTTGATGGGATAAACTGAGAAAAAAAGCTTCATGGGACGAATTGAGAAGTCAATTTGGGATGAACTGAGAGTAAATCCTCTGTAACGACTTTGTAATAATAAATTATGAACATTTTTCTAGACGTTTTAAAATGCATGCTCTAATTAATACACGATGTATTTTTCCTCTTGCTAGTGTTGTCCAGTAAGGTACATTTTCTCAAGAACGAGATACAACATAAACTAACCAACACTCTTTTTCATGAAAGACAAGGAAAAATTCACAAATTGGCTAAAATAATTTTTGAATTTCATTTCCATGATGAACTAAAATTGCAAATCAGTGGATTTGAAAATTCGTCGAGTTGTTCAGACGTTCAAGTTAAAATACCTACCAAAAAAGCAACGATGACGAAATTTAAAAAGTATCTTGAGTCAATTTGTAGACTTAGACGTCTAATTTAGAATAAAACAAGACCGATGATCAAACTCAAGAGAAATGCACCGTGCTAAACGTCCTATTTGGACTCTTGGATCTCTTGACTAATTCAACATTTTTTTTATCTCAGAATATTTTTCATAATTTACAAATAGAATGTTATTTATATTTTGTGAACGTTTCGTTCAAATTGAATGTATAATGTAGACAACAGGCTTGGGCGAGTCCGAGTCCGGACTGGAAGATTTTTCGGCGGACTCGGACTTGGACTGGAGATTTTTTTTGAGAACCCGGACTCGAACTTGAGTCCGATCTGTCCGAGTCTCAGTAACTTAGCTGCAAAGCGTCTATGTGTTCCGACTATATCGACGTCAATAATTGAACGTATTTTTTCTCAATTAGGTATTTTTTATTAGACAAGAAAGAGCAGGTTTTATGAAAACGAATCTATCTCAACTAACATTGTTAAAATGTAATAGAAGTTTCAACTGTTTCAATAAGATTCAAAACAAGATTGATGTATTAAATGCAAGGGGGTTGATTTTGGAATTTTTTCGATTTTCGTCGATTTTCACTGATTTTTTCCGATTTTCTGTGATTTGTTTGGGAAATCAAGTAAAGTAAGTTTCTGAAAAAGTGGCTTTTCAAAAAAGTTTTATTTTCTGATTAAAGTCCAAATCGAAAATTACTTTTAGTACATAGGAAAATAGAGGAAACATTTCTGATCAAAATGACATATCTCCCAGCTCTGAATGATGTTCCAGTCAAGAGTTATGAGAGTTTGGTTAAAGCCCTAGAACCTGCATCAGATATTGGCGCCACCACCCAGGTCAAAGAATCTTGCTGTAAGATCTTATAAGATTCTTGTACGATTCCGCCTGATTTCATAAGATTCGTATAAGAATTTGTAAGATTCTGTAAGAAACATAGAAACTGATTCTTGATGTAAGATCTTATAGTAAGATTTCATCAGATTTTGTAAGATTCTTGTATGATTTTTATAAGATTTTATAAGATGAATCCGTTTCTACGATTTTCCGTAAGATTTTACAAGATCGTGTAAGATCTTGATCTGATTTTCTGACCTGGGCATATCTCGAAAGCGACTGTCATCTTAACACCATTTCGTGGCTCCCAGATTTCTCTGTAACGAAATATCGCATAGAGCTCGGGAAGGTCTAAATTGAAGCTAACACATATGGCTAGAGGCTAATAGAGCCCGATTTTTGATATTCGGTCTAGATTTGTTATTAGAAAAACATCTTTACCAAAGTTAATGAAACTTTTTCGAATTTTGGACTTTTGGCGCTGACCATTATTCTGAGCAGTAAACTATCCAAAATCCGGCTCTATCAGCCTCTAGCCACATGTGTTTTCGTCAATTTAAGACCTGCCCGAGCTCTCCACAACGCTTCGTTACTGAGAAATCTGGGGGCTACGAACACTCCCATTTTGGGCACTGCTGTGGCGACATCTCACAAATCATGCACGATGGAGCCAAACAAAAAATTTCGTCATCATACTTTCACAAAATCAGCATTTTCTGAAACTTTAGTCAAGATTGGACTTATAGTTAGTTTCAGAGATAGGTTTCTGACGGGGGGGGGAGGACTTTTTTAACTGGGACAACCGATTTTTTAAGCTCAAAAATCAGCTGTTCCCCCGATTAAATGGCAAGGGAAAAAGAGAGAAATAAACCACAATCATCGAAAAAGAATCTAAAAGATTACTGGACTTGGTATTCCCTACCCCTCGGACTCGCCCATCCCTAGTAGGAAAAAGCATCCTGATGAAAGCAATCTTCAAGAATGAATCTCTCTAATCAGCTCGTTTAGAGGAGTAATCGATACTAACGCTAAATGTGCATAGTATTAAATATTTTTTGTTTTTTTCTAATAGGAACGTCGCCATTTACAGACTGAAGTTCAGGTAAATCATTTTTGTTTTGTTTTGTTTTGTTTTGCGTACTTTAATATGCAATTATATTAACGTTTCTTGGTAGATGTACAAGGAACAAAGGCATCAAATTGAATACGAGTTACAGCAAACAAAATCATCCATGTCCGAACTTCAAATTAAATATGATCGAGTATGTGCTAAATTTCAAATGTAGAAAGTTTAATCAACTTTTATAAATTTTTTTTTTTCTTAGATACAGAATACGGAAAGAGATGGAGAGAAACAAATTCGAGTAATTATCACTCATCAAGTAAAAATAGCTTATGTTTTAAACTGATCATTCTAATTTCATTTTTAGGAATATAAACAGCAAATTGAACAGCTTAGGCGACATTACAATGAAGTATAATTAAAAATAGACAATTTGATCATTGTTTTTACTTTGACTAAAATTAATTTTTTTACTAGGAACAACAACGTTTTGAAGAAGAAATACGTTCAAAAGATCGAGAAGTGACGGTAATCACCTGGTTAATTATTTATTCTACTTAAAAAAAATGTCAATAATTTAAATATTGCAGACATGGAAAGCAAAATGTCAACAAATACAAAATGAGGTAGAATTTTGAAAAAATTTATCAGAAAAAAATTATGAATTTTTTTCTGAATTGCAGCAACGAAATATGGATTCTATTACTCAGCAAGAAGTAGCAGTGAGTGAATACAACTATCGTATATAATTAAAGAAATTTTGTTTTCTGAAAATTTGTTAAACTCATTAACACGGAACAGTATTCTTTTAGAAGCTCAAACGCGATCTAGAAAATGCTCATGAAAAGTATGAAGATGAAGTAAGTATTAGTGATTGAATTACACTCACTTGTTACATGTCCCTGTTTTCTATTCTAAAATTGTGTAGTATCAACATCGTTATGAGGCATTTGTACGAACAAAATCCGTTGAAATTCAAGTAGTTATTCTTTTATTTATTAACAAAATATTTTATATACTAATAGTATTATTGTTTATAGACACTTCAAAAACAATATGCACAAATTGAATTTGAAAGAGACGAAGTGATAAATGAACGAAATCAGGTATAAAATTTGTTTACATGACATAGTTTGAAACATGCTGGATATTACTTTTTAGTTAGCAATTCGACTAGAAAAAGCTGAATCAAATATAAAAACTACTAAAGATGAATTAAAGGCAAGTCATTTTATTAATGATAATTGCTTGAAATTTATATTTTTATGATCAGATTTTTTTCAAAATACACCATTTTGAACTAAAAGACTAATACATTTTAGAAATATGAAAATGATATTCAACAATTGCAATATCGTTTACAACAAGAAATAACAATATCAGAAGAAAAAAGTGTAGAAATTGAAAAACAGGTAAAAACAACAAAATTAAATTATATTGTAGAACATTAAAACTCTTTCTTTAGCTTACACGTGTGTATTCAACTGAAATAGCAAGTAAAAATGAAACAATACGTGTATGATCAGATTGGTGGCATATAGTAACAAAACAAAAGTGCATTTTACTCTTTTCTCACTTTAGGATCTAGAAAATCGTTTCACTTCAACGGTAAGATAAAATGCCAAGATTTGTATATATTTCAAAAAATTATAAGATGAAACACTCATTTTGAGGATGCACCGATTAATAATCGATGTTGGGGCATTGAGAAAAATCGTTCCGACTTGATTATAGTAAGTCTCTCAGAACTGTGGAATATCTCATTTTGTAGAGAAAGGTTGATTATACAAAGATAAAGTGTTAAAAAAGTTTTAATGTTATTTGTGACAGAAATCGAAATATTCAAAAATGTGCAAAATTGCAAGAAAAAGATCGAAGATTGATTATTTTTTTGCGACTTGTGTGCGTTTTTGATTAATCATATGTTTTCTATATATAACATTAAACTCTTTTTAACACTTTACCTTTGTAGAGTCAACGTTTCTCTACAAAATGAGATATTCCGTAGTTCTGAGAGACTTACTATAACCAAGTCCGGACGGTTTTTCTCAATGCCCCAACAACGATTATTAATCGGTGCATCCCTAATATCAAACTCAAGATTAAAGATAAAAGGATCAGTTTCCTCAAGCAGACGAAAATTTTTCGGTGATTCTATCGTTGACTACACTGTAAAAAGTAGTCATAGATTAATAAACTATCAAAAAGGGTTTATTGAGACTAATAAACCTTTTAAAAAACCCTTTTCCGTTTTTTGTCGAGTCTAAAATACCAGCTAAAAATCTCTTCAGTTTTTTGCATCTGTCACGAACGCTTTTTAGTTTTTTGGATATAAAAAACAGAAAAGCGTTTTTTAAAAGGTTTATTGGTCTCAGTAAATCCTTTTTGATAGTTTATTAATCTACGACTATTTTTTACAGTGTAGTCCTGAGGGCCTGAACGGCGTCTACGGCTAGTCAGAAAAAAGTAGAACTAGTTGCTGACTATTATCCTGTTTGAACAAGAATGTCGGTCAGTGTTTTGGGAATAACTCGAGAAAAACAAGGGATAGAAACCTGCGGTTTTCACTATTCAATAGTCAACACTGCAAGGCAGCTCTTCATAAGAAAAAAGCGTTTAAAACTATTGTTCAAGGACCAGTTTTCTCACGTGACTTTGGAAAACTATTTCATAACCCGGAAACTTGGCACAGCAATATATTGCTTTTTTTCCATGGATAGATAGCCCAAAGTGTCCTCTTCAAAATGAGAAATAAGTGACCCCTTAATTTTTCGAGAT